TTATATATATATATATATATATATACATTTGAATAACTAAAAAATCATAATAATAATATATATTAATACCATAGAATTCCACTATAATTTATCAAGCTAAGTAACTAAGCCGCATTTCAGTCTAAAAAAATATGAAATTTCAAGCAGACTAAAGACACAACCTACCTCATTGAAATCTTGGTTCGAAAGAACGAGATTGCATCCTAACACTTTAAAATGGCTGAGAAAAATGGTTTCCAAAAATGGAAAGAGGTGAGTGGCACCACTGTGTTTGATTCAGTACATGAGCAATATCTCAGCAAATAGAAAAGACAGGAGGTTCTTATTTTATATTATAGCTTGTCAATATTGGTAATTCGAGTTCCTAATTCATCCGAAGCTACAGACTTAGTATTTTGACTTCACAAACACCTAATTTGAACAAGTGCTGCATTCAACATACTATGCGACACACAAAAATTGATATTTAACTGTGTTTTTTAATATTTATTTTTAAATTAAGAAATTGAATAATATATAATTCTAAAAGTTGAATTATAATCTACAGTATAATTCCAAACTTATTGACATACATTCTTGAAATAGTAATTCAATACAATTTTGAATGCGAGTCAACAAATGCGATGACATGGCCTTTGAGCCGTGACCCGTCTGGAAAGGGTTAAACTCCTGTGAAACTGGCTTCCACTACTACCAATGACAACTCATTCCATGAATCAATCACTGTTATAAAAAAATTGTCTTAACTGGACAATGCCTGTCTTTTTCCAGATCTTAAATTTATGTACCTTTTGTTCTATTATCTCCTGAAAATAACACAAATCAGAGACCTTTATCCTATCAATCTTCCCAGTTAATATTGTACACTTTAAGATCCCATATCATCATCTTCTCAAAGGAAAATAAGTTGAGAAATCTTAAACTATCTCTGTAAGATAACCCTTCCAACCCTAGAATCATCCTAGTGGCCCTCCTCTCAACCAATGAAAACTGAAAAGAAAGAAAATGTACTTCGTAAAGGGAATATAAAATGTGTGTTATGGTATCTGTCGTTATTTTTTCATAAAATAGAAAGTGAAAAAACAAAAATGAAATTGTATATATTCTTACTTTGTTATTCCATTATTCCCTTCTCAGTCTCTTTTCAATGTCTTTTTCTTTATGAGTTTATTTTCATAATCCAGTTAAAATACTTTAATCTTTAGTTTAGATGAGCATTATTTCATCATACAGTATTTATATTGTACTATAGAGTAATAATAATAGTGCCCATCTGAGTGTAAAAACAAATTTCATTATCAAAAATCAAATAACAACTAAAGAAAGCATGCCTTTCCATAAAAAAAAAGTAAAAACAATGAAATACACCTGTATATTGATTTTTGTTACTTTATTATAGGCTAGTATTAGCAAGGAAATCCATTATCAAATAATTCTAAAAGTTTTTCCAAACTGCCGAAATCTCTTTTATTGCCAAAAACACGAAATATCAGTTTTTCCTTTCTATGAGATAAATATTAATTCATATATGGAATAAAAACATGAATGGAAGGAAGTGTCTGGATAATGCAGCAGTAAGCATTTCTCATATGCTTTGACTTGTGTACCCTTTGAATATCCGAAAGCTGTAAAGCCTAAGCACGTGTCCTGATACATGTGAACTGATAATGTTTTATCAACAGGCTCTTAAATAAGAAGTAAATGTGTATTGCAAATACAACAAAGTGACTACAAACACTAACCAATAACTTCTGAGCCTTCACATGGTGAAAACAAAATATTGCATAGTATTATTTACACAGTATGAAGGTAAGTACTACATTCTACCAATTTCTATTTTATCATACAAAATAACAAAAAACAGCATATTTTCTATATTTTCATTACTTTCTTACGAATGCCATAACTTCCTTTTCGGTGTTTAGTAAGACCCATCTGAACCCTGCCAGTAAGTCGATATCTTTTGTTAGAAAAGGGAGCCTGAAACTAACTTTCAGTTACACTAGTACCAAATATACTACAACTAGAATGATTGAATGTTACAACCACAAATTAGGCATAAATTCTAGCGTTAACGGTTAAAACTTACTTTGAAGATAGCATATCCTGCTGGCGATTCAAATAAAACTAACATTTTTATTTTATTTTTTACTTAATTCACGATAAACTAAGTTTCGAAAGTATAAAGGTATTCTACACTACTTCATTACTTCCCATGAACGCAACGTGGTTGGAAAAAATCAGTTTCTACGCAGCTTCTCGTGACATACGCGAGTTGGAGAGATTAGTATTATCACTCAAGAAATTAGGAAATCTCAAGCCATGAAAAATGAAAATACAATGATAGTTTCGACGAAATTAATGTGAAGATATTCGGGTCTAACAGTCTTGGGTATGAATAATAATAATTGAATTTGCATTTCTGATTTTATAAACAACCATAATGCATTGAGGAATGGCCATAACACCCCGAGATTCCGCCTATCATATTACTTCAAAATTATACCTATCCTGCAGAACACACATTTATGTTGCCTATGTATGCAGAAATGAATGATTTTTTTTTTATCAGTTATGCAAATTAGTGACAAATAATAAACTCAGTTGTTTTCAAACTATTAACATTTTATTACAAAGCAAAAAGAAATGGTGCATAAATAGGGCAACATGATTAGAAGTGACATAGCGACTTCACTGGCTAGATGAACAATAATATTACTGAAATTGAAACCTTCAGGTAGTCCATGTCACTGTCGTAACATATTGTTGCGTATCTGCTTGTTTGTTAATTTCCCCTAGAAATTCTTTCCGAAAAACTTCAGCGATACAAGTCCTTTCTTAAATAAAACTAGTTTATTCTTTCTCAATACAACTTTGCAATACACAGAATTTCCACTGCTACTTTAACTTAAACACACGCTATAATTCACAACGATTCACGCACTTTACTTACGGTCTCTACCGCTCGTTTGACTCAATTATCTGTCTCTATATCTGTCTATCTGCAATCATATCTTCGATTTATCTGCCGGGCTTATATACTAAAATAGAGGACGCCTGGAAAAGACTAGAGTTGTCAGGAACAGTCATGATCTTTCTAGAAACTCCAGCGCGCATGCTTCCAGCGTCACGTGTCTTCCGCTGTCGTAACAATATAGTGTTTAACATTAACATAATCGAATAAAATATTTGAAAGATTTATCACAGAACACAAATCATTCATCGTAACACATTTACAAAAAGGAATAGAAGTATCACGTATTTTGGAGAGATTAGATCACTCAGATGCATACAAATACCTTGACAATGTTCTCTGCTTCTCGATGTACCTCCTATGATACCTCCCAAATTGTAGATCTTCGCAAGACTTCTTTGGCGGCTTTTAGATGTGATACTGTGCACCATGATGGGCTATGGCTTGCTCAACCAGCAATCTATTAGCCAGAGTTGATGCATGAAGTCTGTTTGTTTGTGACGTTTTTATCATGTTGACCTTTGAGAAAACTCGCTCAACACATGCACATGAATGAGACAAGGCAAGAAGGTTGCACATAAAGTTGCTGAGAGTTCCAAACTTTCTTGCATTTTTGCTGTCTCTAACAGCCCAAAGTTCATCCCAAAATTCTATGTGAAATCACTCATGCGACTAGGGAAAGTAGTGACTATTGTAAATAGCTCTCTCCACTGGTCATTCAGCACATACAGGTCTATTTTCAGAGACTGAAGACAGGGAGTACATTGATAAAATTAATGATGGAAATTAGTGTCTGGTCAGGAGACAATGTGTCTTTAGGGTCAAGAAATGACAGTCACTTTGGAAAATAGACCTCTATTTTTACTGACAACATAATTCAACGAGAAAAGCATGGCAGTCTCAGCTGAAACGTATTTCTCTATCGTCCAAAGGCTGCTTTCTGAGCATTTCCATACATCTTCCACCAAGATGCAAGTCTTGAATGGGCTTGTAATGCTCATTATTGGAAGGATCGATCTGACTGACTCGTGTGTTCTTGATCATGTCATCTCAGATGAACATAACCAAAATGCTTCTGTACTCATCAGAGATGGAACTGAACAATGTATGCAGCTTGAAATTCTGTGAGTGAAATTCAATATTCAATCTATCAACCTTTATAAAATATAATTGGGAAACAGAATCATTTGCTTCATTCCAATCGTTTTGTTCTTTTCGTAGATCTGGGCAACTCTGTCAAAACAGTTTCTTCAAGAATCTGAATTTAAAATTAAAGCACCAGTGCATTCTATGGCTCCAGAACTCTAGTGATGACTTGTCCTCAGGACAACCAATCAGGTTTGTGAAACTTTGAGAACTTCATGATGAAGTGCTTTGACCATGTCCTGAATAAGGCCAGATTGTGCAAAGTAATAGCAAACGTCTTTAACGAATGATTGCAGCCACGAAAATAGATGGCTGCTCAAATGGTTTGAACACATATCGAATGAGTAGCATTTACATCCAAGGATAAAAACACTAGGAACGTCATCCTTCAAGAGAGCTTGTAAGCCAATATTTTTCCCCATCATTATCGAACAGTTATCACTTCCAAATCCGATTACATTGTCAAAATAAATTGATTTCTCATCAAAGATGTTCTTTATAGTAGTGTACAGGCCCTCAGCAGAACCATTTTCTACTTCAACAGTCGTCAATAAGGCATTTGTTGTTTTCCTAATGTGGAAGCATCTCACCATGACAGCAAGAATTTGAAAGACGAGAATGTCAGTGGATTCTTCTATCATTAGAGACAATAAGTTGTTTTAGGCAAATTGACAACAATGACTCACTCTCTTTTCCCAAGCAGTCCCTTTTTTCATCAAATACGATTATTTGTTTATTTTCATTTTGATGTTTTTGGCGATTTTACTGTCCAGAAACATTGTTCTCATTAGTTCAGTCAAATGGTCGTCCTGGAAGAATGGAATTTTATGCTCAGCCATGAATCCAGATAGCAGTACTTCAGCTTTTGTGGCCATTTCCTTGGTTTTCGGTTTTGTCAACTTGTTGCAAAACATGCTGAGCTGCATTGCTATTTGTTTAACTCTGAACGCACTAACAAACTTATTCGTGGCTTTATGTTTAATTAACGCCGACCTGTTGGTATCCTTCAACTCACAGGACCTCCCTAACTGAAAACAGTTGAAATCACAACAACAAATACAATTTAACTTGTGTGGAAACGTCTTTTATGTGTTTTATCACTAAACTTCTCATTTTAAAATATAGCTTACAGAATGAATACTATAAACTCTATTCAACTAAACAAATCATTGTTGAGAAATGTAACACTTTTTTACAATCTTATAAAGTAATTGCAACATTCTGAAATATCGAATTCCACTGTTGCAATCCGCCAGTGCCATAGGCCGATTACAGGACGCCAGATTTTCAGTCGACGGACTTTTTATATACAAACTTATCTAACACTGGATATTCACGATTAGAAGATGAGCAAATTGTGTGCAATGAAGTTCAGAACAGGTCTTTTCACCATATCTGTCATTGATAACATTATAAATCTAGCTGTACTGGTGCTCATCACTCTTTCTACCTTGTTGATCTATCATTTTTGCAGCATACAATCAATGAAAAGAATGGTCTTGAACGTGGTCATGATGCTTTGGAACATTCTGCCTCTATTATAAAGATGTGCTACATGTATAACACATACATCTGGTGTCCATTTTTGATAAGTTAAAAATTGTTTATATATACATTTCCAAATGCTTCCGTATCTACACTGAATGGTCACAAGTAAATAGACACCTAATTTTTCGTCATTTAACTGATTTATGATAACTAATTTGTGTTCACAGAGCCCTTTATAAATGAAAATGGTCCGCACACTAATTATTTTGTGCTACAACATGCCTAGAACTCAAGGTTCTCTCGAATTGTCAGATTTTGTTAGAGGAAGGATAGTTGGTCAAGTAGATGGTGGAATAAGTCAGCGGCAAATTTCGCTGAATTTGGGAATCCCGCTTTCGACAGTCAACAGAATCTTCGTGCTGTTCAGGAAATACGGCA